GCTGTTCATTGTACACTGACCCTAGCAGAACATGCTTGGTGCTTTTTGTTTTGCAGTAGAACACTATGTGGCCCTCATTACATTGCCATCTCCCTGATGACCATCTTGAAATGTTGGCATGTCTGGGACTCTGTCCACTGATGACACTTAGGAGCTGTAAAGAAGAATGACACAATATGGGCTCGGTATTTTTATCTCACTATCGCAGTTGTTGATGACTGTTTCCACCTGAGAGAATAATGAAAATAGTAACCTTAACTGCCCTTAATAACTTTCCATAGCTTGCTGCTTTCCAAATATATTTTATGTCTGGATATTGCACTCTATTTGCCATGAAATTATATAGTAAAAAAGATCACAGTTGTTTAGTCTTTAGTTTTCACAATCACTTTTAATGTAACTTTATTTTTTAATTACATTTTATTTATAACATATTGCTATGCTGAAAGCTGACCATACATGTAAAGTTCATACTGTTTGACCCTGGTTGAGTTTTGGTGAAGGGTGAAGGTTAAGACCTTAACAAGAGGCCTGCAAACTGTCCAGGTAACCTGGAATCATGCATAAACAAAAATATGCAAAGCACACTGCACTTGTGAAATATGTAAAACAGTTTATTAAAGCTAAAATGTGAATAATACTCACAAGTATAGAGTATAAATCAGCATATGAAATCAACTGCCAAATAACAAGAATGGGAAGGATGGAGCAATATTGACCATCACAAGGATTAAATAGGAGACTTGCTGAAAATGGCTGCTGCGTTTCTGGGGCACCACCTTCCTTCCTCAGAGCCGGTTCATTGGTTATGGTTGATGTGCCTCCATCCTTCCCAATCCTGGTTTATGGCATATCTTCTATACTTGTGAGTATTATTCATGTTTTATCTTCAATAAACAGTTTTACCTTTTTCACAAGGTCAGTGTGCTCTGTGTATTTTTGTTTAAAGTAACAACAAACACACCTTTATAAATGTTTAATCCACAAGCAAATACTTCTAGATAATTGCAGGCTTTGTATTCTTTGCATACCTTTTTTTCTTTTCTTCCCCAGTCTTCTCACAGTAGCCATGTTAACTATGAGCATGTTACTAGATCTCCCTTTACTTCCTGGAACTTTGGGACATGTGACTAGCACATGTGATCATGCACATCATCTCAGGGGAGGAAAATGCCTTTACCTGAGATCTCATAAGATTACAGATAAGATTTCCCAACAATGCTCTGCTGATGTAACCTTCCCAGTATGCAACGCTTTGGCACATTACATCATTTGTGCCAAAACTGGCCCAGGAAGTAGATGAAATCTATCTGGAAGTAAATGAAAAACATGTTTGTTTAACTAATGAATGTACGATGATTTCATATCTGCATGCAGAGTTGCTGATGTGATGTTTAGTGAAAGGGGGTAAAGGTCCACTTTAATGCATGATACCAGGTTACCCTGTCCACAAGAAGCTGCCTGCCCTGATGTATGAATACTGAGGACCTCTGTGTACTTATTTCTGAGATATACCAACTGACATAATCTGTTTGTGCTTGAAGTGCTGTGGGATTATATCTACTATCTCTACTAAAGCCAAGTCCTGGTGTTGTAAAGGTCCAGGCAAGGTCACCCTCAAGAAGAACGAGTGAGACTCATGTCACGGACTGGGTGTTTACCAGGAATCTCTCCAATACTGAAATACCCAGTTGCTGTTTTTAGGGGCTGCAAGAAATTATATAAATCAATCTCTTTAAAAGGTTACTGCACCACAGACACATGAATAGTGTACATCTGGGAGACAACTGAAAGTAGAGATAACACCTCTCCCTGCTATCCCCGCAGGATAAGTTCTAAATTGCAAATGTAGGGGGTCCAAAACACATAATGAGAATGGAACAGTGTGAGGGGGAACAGGTCAGTGGGATTTCAGCCCCCTAAGGAAGGATGGAACTGGGGCATAGCTGTGAATGTGGATGGGTTTTCCTCTATAGCAGAACTGCTCTCTCACTACACCTTCGGCTATTTCTTCACAATACGGACAAGCCCTTTCTATGCCGCAATGTAAAGATGGAGGTCCTTATCAATAGTAGTGAAAGTTGCAGGGTTGCAAGAAAAAAGGAAATCTTAATATGTAGTTTGGAATAGAATGAAATGTTAGTATCAAAAGAAGTGTCATATGAGTGCAGAACACATGGGTTACGCTTGACACACTAACTGCAAGACATTGAACAGGAATGCTGTTGACGTTCTTTTCTAAATTTGAATTCTCGTTGGTTGTTTTGTGCTACACCCCTCTTCATGCTGGCCCAACTATGCAAAAAAAATAGAGCTGCCTAAGAGAATTGTGTAATTGCTCTCCTTCCCCATCCTCTATTATTGGTTTTACATTTACATTTGGCACATAGGTTGGAGGGTAGGCTTATTTCAATACACCCACACTTTAAACTAAATGAAAAAAGGTCCCACACTCTTTAAAACACTTAATGAAATAAGGTATTGAATTGGTAAATACTTTCCTTCGCATCCATATTATCTTTATTGTAACAGAAGACAGCAATGAATGAGAATGCTACACAAAACAAGTAGGTGTCAACTGCAACCAGCATTGGCTAGTCATCTTAAAATGTAACTGCGACATAACCACATATCGAAAAAACAGTGCATGAGCTTTAAAACAAACCCACACGGTCATATGTTGGTCAAAGTTCATAGCAGAAGCACTTTAATCAGTCTTCTCAGCAGCTTATCTCAATCTGCTCCCCCTACCAGAGCTCATGTGTTTACATTAGGGATTAGAACGCTGGAATGCAGCCAATTCATTGTTGGGATGGGGAACTGGTCTGCAAGAAAGAAGGACTTGGGAGGTCTTTAGTGCTTCTGATGTAAAATCTAAGTAAGGATTGTGCCACAGTGCCTGCAGCTAGAAGAGATCAGAGCCCATAGCCTGGCCGCATTTACATTTAACACTATTATTTGCAAGTTCTAATTGCAAACTATATTCATTGGTAGAGCAGTAAAATCGGTATATGCCTCATTTGATAACTCCAGTTCCCCTCAGTAAAGACGCATTCTTACAATGAAATGTATGAACAGTATAAAATAAAGCTCAAACTTAAATGACAGTGTTTGCAAGATTAACCAATCGGTTCAAAGCTGTTATTTTTAAAACTGTAGCCTAAAAAACTTAAGCTTTCAGATACTTTTAAACAGTAAAATATAATTACTGTAAATAGAAAGTAATTTACCATTAGTCTCACATTGCAGGATAACGAAGTGCAGCGGTTCCTTGTGTATATCCATAACTGCGTCACTGTAGTAGCAACAATGATGTCATACACCGATTACAATAACATCCAGATCTGTATATATTGATGTGTGTGCTTGGCAAGGTCTGTTTTACTTTACATTTGAAAGCAGATAGCAAGTTTCAGCTTGCTCAGTGGTATTTTACAGTTTAAAAATACAGCAATGGAGCACTATACTTGGGGGGGGGTGTCTGTTAAAAGCCCTGTAAACCATATGTTTGCTAAAATAAAGTGTGAGCAAAATTATATGTGTGAAACAACTGCTGGAGCTCGATACTTACTTCATATGACACATTGTAAATACATTAAAGCACAAAATGTTATCTCAGGCTGCTGCTC